TCATGCTCATCTTTTTTCACTTAAATGAACTATTTATTATTATTATTATATTAATGAATATTACTTCTTAAGCTCTTTTCTAGATATTTAGGTTGAAAATGTTCAATAGAGCTTAATCGTTTTTTAATTCATTATCTTCTAATGTATTGTTTTTGCTCAATGTTTTAGTATTTAAATTTTTCTTTTGGTGGGCTTATCTCGGCTGATTATAATTTTTTGATGCAATTAATGATTGATTTATTAAATATTCTTTATTTTAATTGAAATCTAGAGGCTACTAGCTAAATTTGCTATTTACAGTATATTATACATCATAACTCAATTTAAAATCTTTGGATTCATTCTTTAATTTTGTTTTCTTTGATTTCCTCATTGATTTACGATTATCATTCTTTTTTTGTTGAGATATCATATTTTTTAGTTTATCATTCTAATTGATATTTGTGTCCATCTAACTTAATTATGTTAGCTTAAAAAAGTCATTTTCTCCGTTTATAAAGGGTTTTTTAGAATCTTTGAATTTCTTGAGAATTAAGATCAATTTGACTTTTAATTTAGTTAATGAGTCATTTATCATTATCATTGTATTTGTCATTATGTTAATAATTGTCACTAATATTATTGACCAACCAAATTTATAGTGAATTGTTGAATTTTCATTTTCTGTTTAAGAGAATGGAATTAATTAATAGCTTATTAAAAGTATACAGCTCTCATTAAATAATTCCTAGTAGTATAACAACTTTATCTGAAATGGTTTCACTGATATTAAATATATTAGGGATAAACACTGTAAAATCAAGATAATTTGAAGTTATTAGCTTGGATAATCTATCAGGAAAATAAAACTAATAGCTAATATAAATCTTCTTAATAGCTGCAAAAATATGTAAATAATAGCTGCTTTAGAAGTGGCTCTTATGTTTTGGAATAGCATGTCAAATTTTTTAGTAGTTTGGTAATCATCTTTTATGTGATTTAATTTGAAGTAAGTAGTGTATAGAACAAAAAGTGGAAATATCAACGCAATTGATAGCAAAATAAACGAAAATAATGAACAAATTATATCACTTGCATTATTCCATTTTAACTATGAATGTTGTTCAATAAACAGAAAATATATTTACATCAGTAAAGTTAAGTAAACAATCAATTGACATGTCAAAGTATCCTTCATATAGAATTCTCAAGAGCAAATTGTAATAAAGTTTGCTTTAAATCCATTAATAAACCTTATCAAGACTATTAATTTAATATTAGGTTCAAAAGCAAATACTTTTTGTTAAATTTAGCTATCTTCTAAATGAAGTAAACAGTTAAATACAATGGCATCAAAGCTAATAAAAAGTAGAACATAGATCCTAGGTTTTCAATAACACTTTTAGTCTCATAACTTTATTAAGTTAATACATTTCAAATCAAATTTAAAATCAAAAGATATCCATTTGGTAAAAATTTAACGGAGTTGTTGTCTCCGAAAATTAAAATATCTCTGATTAATCAATTATTGAGCTTAAAATGTTGAAATTTGTTAGTTCTATTATGAGACTATAGAAGTAAATAACGTTTGAGGGTATATTTAAGTTCAGGAGAGGCATTCTCACTATCAACTATACAGTATTTATTAAACTCCATAAAAACTGTAGTCCAATCGAGCTAAAGTAACCAATAAGAGTTTTTTATTTTATACAAGAATAGATTTATAGCAAATGTTCCGTAGTTAAAGCCTGTTAAAGTTTAAACTAATGAGTGCGATCCTGTCTGCAAGGCTTAACTTAATTCTAAAGAATAATTTAGTATATTAACAAAATTACCATCATTAAGCAATTGCTTAGGTATTTCTCCTTCTATTGTTGAATTTTACTTTAATAATAGCCCTTTTTATTAAGCTTAAAATATGTGTGCTCTTAAAAATGTAATTCTTAGATTATCATATTTCTAAAGTGTTTAAGTTAATTAATGAGTTTAAACTTACATCAATTGATACTTCACTAGGTGATAAAAATGTCAATTAAATTTCAAATTCATTTAGGCCTTCTTTTACTAAGTTCCAATCAAATTTAATATTCCTTTCAAGCTTGTTTTTATCATATATTTGCAGTAGGAGTGTTTAATTACCAATTTACTCTATATTTTATAACACTTTTATTTTGTGGTTAAATGTAATTTTCGCCAATCCTCGAAGGTCAATACTTTTAATTTTTGCTATTAAATGCTATTCATTAGATACTATTGAAGTATTAATATTGCTATTATTAATTTTTTCATTATCAGCTTCTTTATCTATCTTAGATAAAGAACTATAGATAAAGATTTTCAAAGAATATTTCTAATAGAATGGTGAAGTGTTAAGGTCTTTCAAAATTATCGAAATTGAATAACTTCCAACGTCAACTTCATTAGGCGTTATAAGCATGAAAGGATATTATTCAATCACAAATTACTTAGCCCCGTTTAATTTAACTACAGGCTTATCTATATTATCTTAATCTATATCAAATGCTTATGGGAATTAATACTTGAGGATTTCGCCTGCAAAAACTTTTAAATTTTGCAATTTTTAATAAAATTTTGGAGGTTATGTGTTAATTTGTAGCACTTTGAAGTGTACAATTAAAGGTTGGTTATTTAGAACTAACGTTTTTGATTTTAATTATCCATATATTATGAAATTAATCTGCTAATAAAGAGCTAGTTGTTTTTAACTTGTCTTGAACTAAAATATTAGTCGATTTGAGTCATCATCAATTAAATTAAAATCACTAGTAGCTTCTTAGACACTCGATTCAATATTATATGTTAATTATTAATTGCATTCATACTCCATCTCGAACTTAGAAAATGTTATATTTTTAGTTTAAGGGTCATTAAAGCTTATCTAATATTAATAAATTTATGCAGATTGGAGTGAATCATAAAAGGCAGGTCGAATAGTCTGAGTTTCACACTCTATCAAGTTAATATAGAAATACCAATCTAGTTCATTCTATACATCATCTTTAAGAAACGTATGGATTAAAAGTTAATAAGTAGTGCCAATTTAATTGTCTTAATTTGGACAGTAAAAACCAAAATGTGTTTGATTTTTTAATTTAGCTTCGGCATCGTTTGTAGAATCTTGATCTAAAATTAAATCAAAACCAAAGTTAGAGTTGCAATAGGGGATATTGGTCTTAAAATCTAATGGATAAAATTACCATCCTGAACCTAGCATATATTCAATAGTTGAAATTATAGGTCCACTAATTATGCTTTTAGAGCAGCTTTAAAGAATATTCAACTTAAATTCTACACTTGTCAATAGCCCAAAACCATATTAGACAACAACTTTGACGTCTCTAAATTCATAATTCTTTTGAATTTATGAAGAAACTATTTCTATGTTTAGGAAGTCTAAGTTTTTTGCAGTAATTTTATAACTTTGAATAACTTAATCAATCAAAATAGAATCAATTATAGTTGCCCCACAAGATTCCTTGATAATAATCCATCCTATCTCAAATTTTATAGTTTCATTGCTAAAAAATGGTTTATTTAAGATCTCATTGAGTTTTATTGCACCATAGCAAGAATTTACTATTTCCACCTCAAAATCAAATGGCTAATAATGTCAATAAATTTCTGCTACTAACTTAAGATATTATTTGCCAATTTACCCTTAATTTTTAAGGTTTATAACAGTCAATACTCCTAATGAATTAATTCGAAATTAAGGATGTGTTTAGTCTAAAATGGTATAGGTGCCGTCATTATTTTTTAGTTAAAGAGTGTATGATACATGTGAAGCGCATATTGCAGGAGAATTAATTGAAACAACATTTTTTTCATAAATATCCCCAATAGTAGCAACATCTATTTTTATATTCAATGTTTATTGACTAAACAATGTATTCGAGGAACAACTGATAAAGTTTACAATGTAATTAACATTTCTCTATATCTTTGAATCACTTGCCATAATATTAATTTGAGCTGAGCATTCCTAAATTATATATTGATCATTTTCAGTTATAAGGAAACTAGGAGGATTACTGTTAATAGTGAAAAGACTTGATAGTTAATCTGCAGTTAGTGAGCAATCAATATTATTGATATTCGTAATTTGAAATTGAAGGACACTGCAAGATTTGTATTTCATTTAGAATTGTAATTCTTAAGAATATTATCCTGAATCCAAAACATACAAAATTTTCTATTCTGTGTTATCATCAATTGGTAATACAAACTAGTTTTAATTGCAATCTACTTTGATTGTTATTTGTTAAGAAATTTCTTTCCTTTAATCATCATTATACTAGTAATAAGCTGAAATTTTAAATTAAGTTAAAATCTCCTCCTGAATTTAAGAACTGTAAATAGCAAAAATACTTATCTACTTTTCTATCGTCTTTAAATTGAAATAAGCACCGTTTGCTGAAATATTTTATCCATCTAAAGCATTTTAATTATTCTCTAAATTTAATTAGAGAACAATATTCCCACAATTGAGTACATTCCGGTCATTATCATATTAATAATCAAAATAAATGGTATTTACCATATCAAAATAATATACTTATGGACTTTAAATAATCTCGATTATTGGTTTATTGCTACCACATTAATTCAATAAAGTGATCTACAAAAAGAAGAACTAGATTTGATACTAATAATTAATATTATATCTATCATGGTAAGCAATTTTTAACAGGTAAGTGCCAGTAAAAGAATAATCTGAACTCTAAATTGTAAATGTTCTATTGGATCTTTAAAATCCCATTATAGATTCTAGGTTATCATTAAAAGTATCTCTTGAAATGATTTCATAATCAAAACTAAATTATCCACAATAAGATGCTATTCTGCTTGTATATTCAAATTAAATTTAATGAAATTTCCCATCAAGTAAAATCTATTCTCTTAAGTCTACTATTCCATTGTATGGCATTAGATCACTAAAGCTAGCTTAGCAATATTTGAAAGAAATTTTAATACAGTAAAATTAATAAAGATTCATTTAAATGAACAATTACGTACTCACTCTTGCTGTTCTGCTAGGATCAGCTATAACTCACCCAACTTACTACAAAGTTGATAGAAATATCACCTGTGTTCAGCCTTCACCAGCTCAAGTCTATTCTTATCACATTCACTTGCTTTTCTTCTAGGACAACAAGGAGGATACTGAGAGTGCTTTGTAAATAAGGTCAGATTTTATGGCTGCTTTCAATGATACACTTGGCCCAGACTGCACAGATCTCTTCCATAATCCATATGCTTGCATGGGAAGCACTGATCAAGCTCCAGATGGGCCTTTCCCAACAGCATAGTGGTCAGTTTTTGTGCTCCCAGATCACATTGGCGCAATGGCTGCTTGGGTTATGTAGCACAGAAAGAGTCATAGTATGCTTATCCATCCAAACTCTGGCTGTGAAATTGAAGATCACTCAAACTGGACTCTCTGGGGAGGGCAACCATGGTCACTAGATCTCACAACTCTTCACTACGATAAGCCATTCCCATGGGATAATGCCAAGGATTTAATTTAATGACCTATCTACTTAAAAATATCGTGAATTAAAGACATTTTAATAAGTATTGATGATTCAGAATTGAAAAAGATCTTTTGCTATATTTTATTTGAGTCTATAATTCCTCATGGGGTTTTGGGGTTTTGGGGTTTTGGGG